GCTTGGTTTGGGGCACATTTGGGAAGTGATAGGCATTTGCTATAAGGGATAGCATTTGTTTTGGGCTTAAATGGCCATAACTTTTGTGGCATTCATTTAAAAGTTTAGGGATGAGTGGGTCCGGAATATAGATCCGTTTAATGTCTTGTTTTTGTTTGACAATTAGGCTATTGTCTAATATGAGGTTTTGAGGGATTTTATTGAGATAAGGCTTTTGGCTTTCAATGATTTCATTCATTTCAATGAGATTTGAATATTTGATGTATTCATGGGTTGGGCTGGCATTTAGCACAGGATTACGGGATAAGGCATCCGATTCGCAATTTTTTGTGCCCGGAATGTATTTAATGTCAAAATCGTATTGACTTAACCTTAGAGACCAATTGAATAGTCGAGAGTTAGGTTTTTTTTTGATAGTTTTCCACCACTTTAGGCTATTGTGGTCGGAATAGACGACAAACTTTCTGCCGTAGAGATAGTGATGCCAATAATCAATGGCTTGAATTATGGCGAGGCATTCGAGTTCACTCACAGAATAGTTCATTTGATAAGTGAGAAGTTTTTTGCTATAATAGGCTATGGGATGTGCTTTGCCGTCGGACTGGACCTGTTTCAGGACAGTGTGGGTACCTATTATGGAGGCAGTGTTATAGAGTAGGCACTCTTTGGTGGGGTTATAGATGCAGAGCACGGGTTTAGACATGAGGTATGTCTTAACAGGATTGAATGCATTATCGCATTCATCACTCCATTTGAATTGTGTGTCTTTCTTGAGGAGTAGATAGAGAGGCGCTAAAATTGGTTGAATGTTTTTTACTTTCGTAGGCTTAGGAAAGTTTTTTATGGCAATCAAATTATCATTGATTGGTGTGTATTTGTTATGGGCTTTGGGTATAAACTTTAAGGCAAAGTTTTTAATGGGATTTGGTTTTGGTTGGCCGGTGAGCACCGGTAGGTCCTAAGGCTTATTAGGTGTATATGGGTTTGTGTTGGTCGGTGAGCACCGATAGGCTATAAGAAATGTATTTTGTTACTTGGATCTATTATTTGATCCGCCGGTGAGCACCGGTAGGCTATGAGGTTAATGGGTATCTACTTGTAGATTATTTGTGGGATTTTTATCACTTTTATTGGCATTATTTTCAACGAGGAGTTGCAAAATGGAAAAAGTTTTTATTCAATTTGAGTTTGAATTTGTATGTTTGGATTAAAGCTAATCCTATTAGTAAACCGTAGTTTTTTTGTGTATTTGATTCACATTTTTGTGTTCATTTTGAGAGGACTTAAGCGAGGCATAAACAATTACATAATTTATATAAACTAGCGTTTAATTTACTGATTATTAAGAGTTTCAAAGTAATGAAATGGTGTATAAATACTCACTTAAATGTTGATCAGGTATTTAAGAGAGCCTTTATTGAACTACTATTAGCTGGTGCTAACATTATAATCAGTGGTAATTGTTTTGGTCTTAAAGCTTAGTCATAATCAACGCTGTGGTGGTCAACCGGTGAGCACCGATAGGCCTTTAGATTGATGGGTATTTTGTTAATGAGATCTATAGTACAGTACTCGGAAGTTATACACCCGATATCGTACTTATCTCTTGAGAAAATGTGGTTAAAATGATTTAAAATGGCATTTAAATCATTTTGTTGGCTAATATTTAGCTCATTACTTATAATGAGTTGGGTTTGTGAGGCTAGCACATGTGGATTTAGTTGGGAATGTAATTCATTTGTTTCACAAAAACTATATTGAGTTAATGTGTTATTGTTTGAGTAATTTGTGAGTATTTCCTCACATTTGTGGGCATTATTTTTAATGAATGGTTGAAAAACTTGAAAATTCTCATTCATTTTGAGATTAAGTTTACAGATTATGTCTAATCCTATTAGAAAGTTATGGTTTGATTTATTCAAGACAAATAAATCACATTTTTGAGAAATGTTGCCAATTTTGAGAGAGACTGAGGCGAGACCTAAACATTCACATTGATTACTGATTGTAAGTACTTTTAACTTAATGTTTGAATTATTTATTAACTTTAATTTTAAGAATAATTAATAACTTATTATCGAAATGTTTGCTCCGGTGTCGAAGACGGCATGAGTTATAGTGTTATTAACTATAGTGAATAAAGTAATCAATGGATGAAATTTAGATCTCGGTATTAGTTTAAATCAATGGCTGAGATGTCATTGTCAGGCATTGATTGGGAGGAATGGGTTTGCATTGTGTTAACAGACTTAACACTTGTGGTGCCATTGGGTTTGGGTTTACTCTTATTGTGGCAATCATTAGACCAGTGGTAGCGGTCTTTGAAGCCGAGGTTTTCGCAGATACGACAAGGAGTCGGAGGTTTGCGTTTAGCCATAGGTTGGCCTTTAAGTCCCGTAGGTTTACCATCACTATTAGTAGTGTTTGGCTTACAATGAGTTTGGTTTATAGAGAACCGTATATTGGGATAGGATTTTACAGTTATGTGAAACTCTAGGTATGGCTGAGGCTTACAATCTGATGTCCGCGGCGATGAAGAACAGGTCGTCTCGGTGTCGGAGGTGTCGTCCGTTTGGGTGGCCATCGATGCAGATGAGGGTTCCGGTGCCGACGTGGGGTCCGGAGTTGTGGAGCGGTTGCGACGAGTGCGGCGTCCCATGGCTGGAGTGGTGCGGATGAGGTTGGGATGGGTTGTGCTGTCCGAGTGGTCCTCGAGTGCTGATGTGGTGTCCGAGTGGTCCTCGGGATAAGTTGGATGTGTTGAACACGGAGTTAATGTTTGCACAAATGTTTGCACAAAAGTTTTACAAATGTTTTGCACTTAAAGTAGTGATAGAGCGGTTATGTTGGGCGGCAGGAGTCCGGCGTTGGACAGAAGGGTTAACACAACACGATTGGCTGCTTCTTCGGCTACTTTGGCGGCGACTATAGGTGTGAGCGCTTTGGCTAACGCTCTGATGCTTATGAGGATGAATATGGTGTACACGGCTTCGGCGCACAGAATAAGTATTATTATAATTGTGAGCACTATTGAGATGAGGTTTGCAGTGGTGGCGGATGTAGTGGATATGGCTGTGGGTTTGGCAGATAGTAATCGCTGCCGACTTGTAAGAGGTTTTGAATGTTTGGTCACTAAATTAGTGAATGAAAGGCGCAGTCGAGTGGTTGTCTTTGGAAATGACTTTATTTTATTAATGTGATCACAAAATATATAATAATACATAAAATTCATTAAGCAATGAATGATTGGAAAAAACAATTGAAAATATAAATGAATATGGTGTACACGGCTTCGGCGCACAGAATAAGTATTATTATAATTGTGAGCACTATTGAGATGAGGTTTGCAGTGGTGGCGGATGTAGTGGATATGGCTGTGGGTTTGGCAGATAGTAATCCTGCCGACTTGTAAGTGGTTTTGAATGTTTGGTCACTAAATTAGTGAATGAAAGGCGCAGTCGAGTGGTTGTCTTTGGAAATGACTTTATTTTATTAATGTGATCACAAAATATATAATAATACATAAAATTCATTAAGCAATGAATGATTGGAAAAAACAAATGAAAGGCGCAGTCGAGTGGTTGTCTTTGGAAATGACTTTATTTTATTAATGTGATCACAAAATATATAATAATACATAAAATTCATTAAGCAATGAATGATTGGAAAAAACAATTGAAAATATAAGGCATAAAACAATTGAATGTTTGACACACAGGACGTGTGCGAAGGATATACTGTGTATACAATGGCTATAATAATGCATAAAGTGTTGGGTTTGTATGTGACTTAAATAGTCAAAAATGGGTTATAAAGTTGGGGTCAGATTGACCCCAATGTTGGGCACATATGCGGTGTCTGTATGTATGGTGTGGTGTGTATTGTGTGCACAATATATTTATGGTATCTGTCGGTAGTGTTTGTGTTGAACATAGTGTTTGAAATTAAGGTTAAGACTTGAAATTCATGTGAAAGTGGTTTTCACAGATGTCTGGAGATGTGAAAAGTGGTGACAAAAATAGAGGCAATGTGTGGACAATCAGTGACCCTATTCTTGGTATTGTTTACCATAGAGTTTGACCATTAGGTTTGGGCATTGGTTTGGGTGGATATGGTTTGGGTGGATATGGTATGGGAGTTATGGTATGGGAGAAATGGTATGGGTGGCAATGGTATGGGTGGAAATGGTATGGGTGGAAATGGTATGGGAGGCGATGGTATGGGAGTTATACCTTTATAAATATTATTATTAATTAAAATAAAACAAAAATAATAAGACATAAAATGCTTATTTGATGTAAAAACGCATGAAAATACAAACACCAAAACTATTGCATAATAAGTATAGACTATATGTTTCCATACGTTTCTTACATAACAACTACAATACTGTATATAAAAGATTGTAATTCAAGGCCATAAATACATAAGCCGTTTATATGAGAGTAAATACTATTGGTTTACATCGCTATTCAATAACAGTAGGAAATTCTGCACAATTATCAATACAGACAAACAGGCCGTACATCTGAATGCGATTCGCACTCCTGTGCACTGATTCTGTGATATTGGGTAAGAGAGCAGAGACTGACAGTGCGATACAGCGCTTACCGGCGCTCAATAGGCACAGCATTTGTTGTTTAACACATTGGGTATAAAAGGAACTGATTTTGGGCACAGAATTGTCATTCAAATTATTACCACTCTTTAAATTGTCTTTTCATAAGCCAACTGAATATATATTTCCAATACTTTTGAGAGTATTTTATTAAGTTATCGATTCTCTAAGAATTTGTTACTTTTGGTTCAACTGTTAACTCAAACGTAAGATTTTATTCAAAAGTTTTATATTTAATTAATAAGTTATTGATAATAAAATATGCATGATTAATTATAAAGTTTGTTCATTTAACCGGCAGATTATGGGCAGAAAACACGGTCATAGAGAACACGGATGTCCGGCCTATTTTGGCGGTCACTCCGACCCTCGCGTCGGTCCGTTTGAAGGCTGCGGATCGTCAACAGAAGGCGGACACGTGTCGGACGATCCCAGACATGGCTTTCATGGGATGAGCGCCGGCGGACCCGAAGGACCTTTTGGTCACCACTTTGGACACCATAGAGGAGGCCATGGATTCCACGGTATGAGAGGTTTCGGACACGAAGGACACCATTTTGGTCATCATAGGAGAGGACATGGATTGCATGGATGGCATGGCGGACACCATAGGCTTCACGGCGGGCACTGGGGCTACGGGTTTGGCAATCCCTGGCAATTGGCCGACACGTCGTCGTCGAGCTCTTCGTCCAGCGATTCAGACTCTGATGAGAAAAAGGCGAAGAAGTTTGAGAAAAAGCAGAAGAAGTGCTATAAAAAGGAGGCAAAGAAACAACAGAAACAGTGGAAGAAATGCCATCAAATGAGACAATGGATGTCCGCTCCCGACGGAAACGTCACTCACTGTACGCTATGTTGGCATCAAATCAAGCCATTGGCCGACACAGAAGTGCTTGAATGCGGACATATCTACCATCGCTTGTGTCTCAAAGAGCTGTTCCGCATCGCTATCACCGGCGACGACAATAAGACCGTTCATTGCGNATCGCTTGTGTCTCAAAGAGCTGTTCCGCATCGCTATCACCGGCGACGACAATAAGACCGTTCATTGCGTTCAATGTAAGCAACAAATCGATGAACAACTCTTCGATGAGTTCCAGAAGAGAATCGCTGGCAATGAGACCATCGCTGACGACAAGAAATACAAGAAAATCGGCGAAGACTTCGACAAGAAATACATGAAAATCGGCGAAGACTTTGAGAAATTGAAAGTTATTAACTGAAAGATCACTAATTGCTTGATTTAAAACTTTGATTTAAAGCAGATTTTATTACAATTTTTAATATTATTTTTTACTTTCATTTGACAAAAAATGTTTTTGTTTATTAAATTTTGTATTTCTCTAAAATATCGATCAAATTACAAGTTTCTATGTTTAATATTATTTTTTAATTAATTAATAAAAGCAAAATATATCTGATTTTTTAACGCAAACTTATTTTATTTTTATGTAAAAATATGGAGTATGAAATATTGATTTATAAGTTTTTAGATTATATAATTAACACATTAGTTAAATGTAAGTTTATGATAAGTAAAATTAAATATTTAATTAACAAGATTTTCTATTATTTCGGCCGCTTTTTGAATGCTATTTGAGTTAAGCATACGTTTTGAAGCGACGGATAATTTGTGTTTCAATTCCTTATCATTCAATAGCTTTTCAATAGAGTTAAGCAATTCCTGCTCTGAAACGGTGTGCGGATTAAGTCTAATCCCAAATCCCTTTTCCTCCACTCTCTGTGCGTTATCGTATTGATCGGCAAATAATGGCATTATTATCATTGGTT